TACAAAACATCCACAGAGACACAGAGAGATCTTGAAGCAGGAATTTGATTCCTGTTGAGGACAGGACCACAGAAACAATTTTCTCAGGATATTTAGCATACAATGACGGAATCTTAATCCAAATATAAGCCAGACACATATTTTGGGATATACGACACCCCAAAAATGCCATCAGGGTGTTTAATGACACCTCACCTAGGTTATATGAATATTGAACATGTGAAATGCCACACAGCTAACTTTGATATTTAGATTCTTCAGTACAACTCCTTTGCGTTTTCTACATCTCATGCCTTCTTATGTCTCTGAGCTTTCACAAAGCTTTATTCTACACAGTCATGAAAATCGGTCGCTTGTTATTCTCCTCTGTGCCCTTTAAAAATATCTGTTTTATTAAAACTCAAGACTCAGGCTAATTCCGCTTGCTGCGTTATTTAATATATCCATGTGAGAGGGCAACACACTCCACTCTGTATGAATTGGTCTCACAACAGCAGCAGATCTATCAATGTACCTGCAACAAAGATAAAGGTCTTCTCACTCTCCCTTTGGCTTTCCACAAAGGTACAAAACTTTTAAAGATTTGGGGCAGAATTTGAGGAAGAAGTAATTTCTCAGCTCGTCATTGATAAGAGATCGAGAGGGGAGTGTATCCTGTAAATCAAATTTGATCCAATTCAATTAAACTGCAAATGTTGAAAGTTATAGGGAATAGATGCACCTTCACCTGGATTGATACGTGGACAGAGAAGTGCAATTACAATGGAGGGAGAAATGGGAAATTCACAGCTGGTAACAGGAGGCAAAAACAACTTCTAGAGGAGCGGAAACGTGCAAAATGTGCCATGGGAATGTAAAAACCATTTTCTGACTGGTAGAAGCAGCAGAGAGGTGTCAGGTTTGTTAACATAGAGGGATTAGCTGCTAGAGTTCTGCCTGCGAGTCAGCGTGCTCATGTCAAGTCAGAGGGAACAAAGCACAGGGGAGAAGCGTATGTGTGCGTGCGTGCGTGCGCACGTGTGTGTATGTGTGTGTGTATGTGTGTGTGTGTGTGTGTGTGTGTGTGTGTGTGTGTGTGTGTGTGTGTGTGTGTGTTTGGTTGTGGGAGGAAAACAAAGGTCTTGCAGGAAGTGAAGAGTTAATCACCTGATGAACATCACACGCTGTGGAAAATACCCAGGCTTGAGAAGCGGGGCTATTAAGATGTGTCAATTAAGGCTTGTTGTTAATTATAGCTGTGTTCTTCAATTAGTGTGTGTGTGGGCAAATATGTTACTGAATAAAGGACGCAGAGAAGATAAGCATATCTGTTTACATTTCATTTTCTTGATTCATGTTCTTTATATTCAGTTTTTATCTTCTTATTCATAGTTTAGTTAATGTAAATGTTATGATCAAGCCTCAATTACATGTCTTGTATCAGGGCTTGTTAACAACATCTAAGGTTTAACTAGCAAATTTAACACAGAAACGCACACACACACACACACACACACACACTAGCATTGTATCAGCATCAGGAAAATGTCACAATCCTGTGACAGGGATCACTTGCAGTGATGAACATACAAAGACTTATCACATGAATCTGCAGCTCATTATTTAACCGTCTGTTTTCCGCTTCATTGTTTGGTTTGACTCTCACTGCTCTCATCCAGTCGTTTTCAGTCACAGCAGGCAGCTGTTTTTGTTTCCTGCACATAACCTGCCCAGCATCAAACACACACAAAGTGACGAGCAGCTGAACACAGAGGAGCATCTATTGGTTAAAGAACTGGATTACTGTTTTAATGCTGTGACTGTTAAACATGAGGTGACAATCAGGTTAATGACTCCTTTCTCATTGTCAGTAGAGGAATTTCCCCTCTCTATATTTTTCCACTGAGTCGCTCTCACACCGCTGTCTTGCTAAATTGGCACTTTCACCTGGATGTCAAGTTTCCATCACTGCCGTTCTGAGTCAGAGCTAACTAAAACCTGTGTCTGCCGCAGAGGCATTTGACACAGGAGTGAATGCTGATTAGATCCATTCCCATTGCAGACAAAAGCCAAATGTTAGCAAGTGTTAGTGTTTTTTTGATCAGTGGAAAAGGGGCTTTGGAAAATGCAGAAGATGAGAAAAAAGTCAAACATTTCCCAACATTGAATCCATTATTATAGCGAAATATATGTTCATCATAGGACTGTTATCATACTAAAGATGACGCATTCTAAACGCATGCTCGAATGCCTCACTGGCTGATCAGCAGCAAAAGAAACAAAAGAAAAATGTTTGCTGTTTTCTATGTTTTCCTGCCAAGAAAAGGATTTCAGCAGCGCAGCAGAAACGAGGACAAGGAAAATAAAGAGACAGAGCTGTTTGGCTAAATGCCGTCTGGATTCTTTGATTCTCAAGGACATTTCTGTGTCCCATACTCCAGCGAGTCCCCCCCACCCTTTATCTGAGCCCACCCCACCCAGCCCCATTGTATTGTTTTCTGTCACAGAGAGCTTCCTGCAATTCCAGCTCAGCTGCTTATAAAATAGGAAGCCATGTAAGCCTTTGGAGCTGCAGGGATTGTAGATCCCGGGGGTGAAGCCAAGAACATTCAGAAAAACTCTGGTTTTGCTTTTATAACTTTTTTCGTTTATAGACGTGCGTTTTGAAAGTCTAAGTCACCCTTCCCTGAAAATTGGCTTTTTAAAAATTTGGAAGGACAGAGACTCTTCTGAGCAGAAGATGTTTTATAAAAACTGTCATAGGTGACACTTGAAAGTGGAAAATTATGAAACTATGTATGCACAGAGGTTCTATTCACACGTCCAATTATAGAATCTGCCAGTGATCCATTCCTACGTGTAGTTACAGTTTACGTCATGAGCTCAAATGTTAAAAAGATATTATCACACAAAAACATCCTGTCTGCTGTATTGTTGTCATGCAGATGATGCAGAGAAACTCACAATCAACAGAACTCAATGCTCCCTGCATAGGACGCCTTTTAGATATACAGTGCATGTAGTACTAGAGACTTTCTTCTGTACCCAGATAAAGCTTCAAAATGCATAGTCTTGTCAATGAATCTGCAGATAACAATCAGTGTCTTCTTGCTCTTCTCTCCTCATCTTTGCCTCTGTACCTCTCATTTTTAGTCATCCTGCGCCAAAATGGTCTCAGAACACAAGATGAGTTAGACAGAACTGCTGCCTCTCGTTCATTTTCTATGAGAAGCTGCAAATCCCTTGTGAACATGCTATGGGAACACAGGTCTCATATGGGACCTCAGCTACTATTTTCTAAAGTATAAACTACATGAAGGCAGACAACAAAAACGTCAGCTGGGAGGACGCTGAAGGAGTAGAGTCACTGCAACAGATTTGGGAATTTTAATGGAAATGATTCTAAATTTAAAGAAATGTAATAAAACCAGTTAAAGGGTCCCAAAAAGAGACCACAAAATCTTTTTAAAGCTACAATCAATGCCTTTGTCTATCAAGCGTGACAATATACAAATATTTTTTAGAGATTGTTTGGAGATTGTTTTTCGCTGCCTGGCCACCAATTCACTGTTTTGATTCACTCTCACGGCTCTCAGTGCTTTCAGCCACAGCAGGCAGCAGTTTTCACAATAACAGAACAGCCAATATAACAAAGCTAGTAAACATAATGAAGCATTAACAAATAGCGAGCCAGATAATTATCTGAGGAGACAATAGACTGAGCAATAAGAGTGGATATTGGACATATTATTGTTCATCAGGTGAATGCTAACCTTGCTACTAACCATATTCACAATAATTACACATTTGATTATGCATTTTTCAACAAGATTCAGGTCATGTCAAAGTTGTTTCTACTGCCCCCAAGTGAGCCAAAGAATCTGTTACAGCATGAATAAATGCAAACAAGCAACTGTGCAACTTCAAGCTCCTTCCAGACAAATAAGCGCCTCATCCTGACACCAAAGACGACCCCACCCTCCAAAAGGAAACGATACTGACACTTCTATCAATGATCACTACCAGAAATGTGTGACCGTCAGTAAGCATTACAAAGGATTATTATCAAAAGAATTACAAACTAAAAGCCCCAGAACTGTCTCACATTGTATGTTTTGTATGTTTAACTGTGTTGTTATGGGGATTTTTTATGCCTTTACGTGATGAGAAGCACAGTCACCACACTCTTGAGCCGTTTTCTGAACTCCAGTTCAAGATTTCCACAGCAATGGAACCGAACTTTCTTCGTTGGCCTTTCACACATCAACAACGCATCAGGGGATTTTACGCTCAGACGTATTCACAACAACAAAGAAATCTCCACAGCGTTCACGTAAGGCGTGGTGCAGCAGGCAGAGGCAGGGTGTATAAATGTATAAATTCTGCTGCAGAGATCCGGTGTTTTTGATTACAGCACACGGACACGGGTGTTGGTCCATATCAGCAAAAACTATTGATGTCTTCTACGCCTCCACTTTTTCATCACGAGATATTTGTATTCTTTTTTTTTTTTTCAGTCACGTGAATGTCCTGAGCCTCTCACCCGGACACTTGCATTGTCACATACAGCCCCTCTGGAGAATGTCAGGAGATTATCCAGAGCTCAGTGCACAACTGAAAGCAGCTTTACTGTGAAGTCAGAAATTTCCCCTCTTCGTTTTGCGATGTGTACTTGTAACCACCTAAAGCTGACACCTCCCACCACTTATCGTGTAATAGTCAAGAATCATAGATTATTAAGAAATCAATTAATGACAGCGCAGCCATCTGTGGCGGCCTCGCTGGGGCTGATGTCTCTAACCAAGCGTGGTCAGTCAGGCTCAATGCAGCGGAACCAAAATCTATGTATGACAAACCTCAAGGTTTCACACTGCACATGTAAAACACACAGAGGACAGGGGACGCTTGGTTTCCATGACACGCAAATCGGCATCCATGTTACAAACCTCTCTCAGAGGTAAAACTCAGAACTAAACGTGGAAATTAAGTTTAAACTATGCTTTGTTATACTTTTATCCTACCTTTTTCTTAAAGCCTCTTCACCCATGTCTCTGAGTTGTCTCTGCTTCTCGGATACAGATGGTGTTGCAGTGGTTTGCCTCCAGCTTCACGATGCTGATAAAACAAAAAAAAAACATCTTTTGTTGTAATTGGAAGAATTACTCCCACAAAACACAAAAGATGGCCTATGAGAATGTAATACGGGGTTTCAAAAACAATTCTCCCTGCAGACAGGTGTGCTATATTTTCCAGTATAACTGTTGGATGACTGTGCAAGAATTTGTCTTCCAAGCAAACATATTCTCATTTTTCCCTGTGTCGACTCAGGCAGAAAAAAGATGAGGGGGGGAATTAAGTCAACCGAGGCACAGAAGTGAAAAAGAGGAAGAAAATGCTGCTTTAATATACATCTATTTATGACAGCATCAAATTCAATCAGAGTCCCAGTCATCAAAATAATATAAAATAACAGCAAGAAATTGCTAAAGTTGATGGATTTTCTGCTTAAATAAGCGCACCTGCCGGGGAGGCTGCAGGGGGAGATATATTTGTATAGGCGAGCACTCTGTCAGCAACAGGCATCAAACACAAAGCGTGTTGTCAAGGGCTGACAGTGAAGAATGTCTCCCACTGTTTCTGATTAAGGCGCAACAAGCCATGGATAAATCATCAGTGCGCTGCTCTGGATCCACAGCTTCTCAAAAGGCCACCCACAGCCATCTGTTAAAGATGGACCCCCCCTCCCACACACACACACACACAC